TTAGACTTTGCTTTCCACTGCTGAAAGGGTACACTTAAATCAGTGGTGAGCTTAGCATGGTGCTCCCTTAAAAGTCAAAATCTAAGGGGATATTTGTTCGCAATTTACAGCATTCTCTACCTTTGGACCAACCAATTTCAACTCTTCTTCTGTTCTCACACATAATACTGGTGTTCTTAGACTTTTCTAAACATGACTTTCTACCAGGCAGCACTTGTGAGCTTTCCATGGAGGGCTCCTGCCAGCGTCTGTGGCTCCCTACAGCCAGCCCAAACCTGCAATTCTGCAGTCAGCTGGACCGGCTCCAGCAGAGCTGTGGTGTTCCATTTGTGTAATTAATACAGCTCCTAAACGATGACTACATATCTAAATGGTAGACCGTTAATGGCTCCAGGGACTTCTCGTGGCTCATCCTTATAAGCAACTCTTTAAGTTCCAAAATAAATGCATGATGAAGCCTTTCTTGTGACTGGAGGGTGACCTTCTCATAAAAGGCTCTTCTCTGCCACAGCTGTGATCTCACTTTCTGTCAAACCTTCATATTTTAGTCTAACCCTATAAAACCAGGAAGTTAAATGCTTTTTGGCACAGACACGTTTAGTTCTCTGTCATCTTTCAGCAGTATCTGCTTCTGCAAATAGCAGTGATCGATTTTTGTCTTTGGCTGCCTGTTATCCAGATCTTCAAGATATAGCAGTGTGATTCTTGTGTTGAATTAATAGCAGATCATCTTTGGAAAGATGACACTGATGTTAAGCACCAACATTAATGAAAAGAAATCAAGTCGTGCTGAGCTGATAATTGATTTGCTATAATGTCTTTCTGTCTCCAGAAGTGTTTCTGTTGGTCTTGCTGCATATGCACCTCTACTGAGTTCATAGCAGCAGCTACAGCTTTGGGCATCTTAAATCTGTATTCTGGCTGTTTATAATTTTATCTCTTCCCCCCCCCCCCCCCTTTTTTTGTCAGTTGGCAATCTCTATTTTAATCAGCTCAAACAAAAATGGTTGAGGATGCAGTGTCACACATTGATGTGTATAAATGTACTAAGATTAGTGACTAAATGTACTGAAATTGGTGACTAAAGGTTTCAAGTGCCTGAAGGAAGTGCAGAGTTAAAGGTGTCTGACAGGGGGTTTGAGGGATGTTAATGACAGCTTGGCAGGGACCTCTGAAGGGCATCAGTCTGCTTCCCTGTGCCGTGGCTGGGACCAAGTGCAGTGGTTGCTCACAGCCTTGCGTAGTCATTTCATCCTTGCTGTGTTGCACAACTATTCCTGTTGTGAAAATTTTCTTCAGCTGAGTTGCCCTTGCTACTGTTCAGATCCTTCCTCTCATCCTTTGCTGGGTGAGAGTAGGGCTCTGGTGGCCTGTTGGGATGGGAGAACGCAGTGGAGCCTCTCCTGCCCTTCATATGCTGAACAAACCCCCTTCCCTTCCACCCTCTCACTATGGCAGAGACCCCTTTGGTGTCATGACAGCCTTTTGCTGCAGTCTCCCACCAGCTTTTTGGTCACTGGTAGGGGTGAAAATCCAGTTGTACTCTTCAGGGTTATGAACTCGCCACCACTGCTTCATGTGCTTCCTTCATCTGTTTCATTTCTGCATGAAAACAGACATTTCATTAAATAAAGCTTGGGTTTGGCTATGCCTTTCAATAATTCAAGTTGCCAGGGGAGAGGAACCTCAATCCATCTCACTGTTAGCAGTTTGATGCCAGTGCCAGCACGAGCTGCTCAGAACATGGAAAGGGATTGCAGGTCAGCTGAAGAGCAGCACAGAGGAATTCCAGCCACTCCAGCAGCAAGTCAGCTTCATGCAGGATCCAACTTAAAGACCTATATGCAAATGCATATTGCGTGGGGAATAAACTACTGGAGTTTGAGATCCTTAGGGCAGCATGGAGGGTGCGCAGTAACCCTGGACTTCAGGGGAACAGACTTTGGCCTCTTCAGGAATGTACTTGGTAGAGTACCTTGGAACAAAGCCCTGGAGGGAAGAGGTGCCCATGAAAGCTGGTTAATATTCAAGGATTACCTCCTCCAAGCTGAGGAGTGGTGAATTCCTACAGAGAGGAAGTCAGGCAAAAATACCTGCATGAATAAGGGGCTCCAGGACAAACTCAAGCGCAAAAAGGAAGCCTGCAGAGGGTGGAAGCAAGAACAGGTAGCCTGGGAGGAATACAACCCAAACCATTCCATGATTCTAGGATAATTCCATGATGCTACAATAGGTTGTTGTTCAGTTGGTGTAACCAGTTGTTTACAAATCCTGCAGTTGCTAACACACAAGATGGGGGAAATGAGCATGGTTGTTTCAGTGACACTGAATTAAGCTCTGGCTTGAGCAAACAGTCTTTAAGAAAAAGAACTGGAGCAAAACGCTTGCTTTCAGAGTCTCCTTGCTGCAAACCTTTGTTTTCAAAACATAGAGTACAAATGATAGAGATTTTCTCTCTTTTTTCCTAGGAAGCCTCAGTTACTGAGACCTAGGCTGGCTGTGTATAGGTTAGCATCGGTAGTTATGAATTCCTCTATTGCTACAAAACTTGTTGGTGTTAAACATTGCTATGATTGGCCATAGCCACTCGCCTCCTGCTTCCAGCAGGCTGGACAGCAGCAGAATCCAAGGGGTGCATTTACTTTGCTCTAAATAAATGTTTTATCACTTAGCAGTAATTGGATTGCTATTGTGTTTCAGTAATTGTTCCCAACAGCAAATCTGTTCTCTATTTCGTAGACGTGTTCCCTGAGTGACCTTCACGCAGCTTGTTTTGAAGGTGTCTGTCGTGATCTAATTCTGGATGATGAGGGGTTGGGTTTTGTTTTTTAAAAGAAAGGGAGCTGCTGTCAGGGGTAGAATAATTTGTCTTTGCTCCAGTTGTTATGGTGCGGAAGTGTAAGCACTTCAGTTCATGCTTGAGCTTTTAGCTGACCCTGGAGAGGCAGCACGATGCAGTGCTGTTTCAAAATGCATCATGACATTTCGTGCTGTGTAGAACCACGCTTCTCTCAGTATCACAACCCAAATGCCCTGCCAAGGTTTCTTATACTTCATGGAAATTTGTTCTTTAATGTGTCTATAGACAAATAACCTCCTAAAGTATCTCATAGCTGACCAAGGAATTCATACACTTGTCTGAGGATCAGTCAGAGTCTGTCAGGGAAGCTCTGGATCACTCAATGGCAATTTTATGTGCAAGAGTAATACTCAGTGATTAAATTTTAATGGATTTTCAGAGCAGCTAATATTTTTTCAAGAGGAAAGCAGTGCTGAATGTCCTTAGCGAGCAGTCTTGTGATAGCTTGCCTTCTCTACAAACTCTTGCAGGAGAGCCTGCATTATGCAGACTCCACAAGCCCATCAAAGGACAGCTCCATCCCCTGTGTGCTTATCTGAAGCTCTAAACTTTTGGTTGATTGCCTGCCTGATAGACTGTATTTATTTCAAATGTGTGGCATTCACAGTGAACTGATTTCCACAGTCAACAATTAGGCTGTTCTGATGCCATTTTCTGTTAACTCTAGTCCTGCTCCTGCTTTCTGAAAATGATGGTTTCTGTATTGCCTAGGACATCCATTTCAAGTACGAGTAACCTCCTTCAGTATCTAGAGAAGCGTGTTTTCTCAGAACAACAACATTTTACTAGGTACTGTCACAGTGCTTACTTCCATTATGGTCACAGGTTTTGTGAAGCATTTTATCATAACGAGCAGCACAGTAGCATTAAGCTGTGAGTAGATTTTAGCTGCATTTGCAGCTGTCGTGGTGTTGTGGTGCAGCCTGTTAAAGCATGTTTGCTGTGCAAGGTTGCCTCTTCATTTAGATTGAGACTCTTTACAAGATACAAGCTGCACTCAAACACACAAGCCAGGCCAGGTTTAAGTGTGAGTAGTCTGGGCAACATCTGATGAACCAGTTGTACTACTAAAGAAATCACATTTGGAGATCACAGAGAGGTTTGGGTTGGAAGGGACCTTAACCTCATCCAGCTCCAGCCCCTGCCATGGGCAGGGACACCTTCCTCTAGAGCAGGTTGCTCCAAGCCCCATCTGATCTGGCCTTGAACACTGCCAGGGATGGGGCAGCCACAGCTTCTCTGGGCACCCTGTGCCAGCACCTCAGCACCCTCATAGGGAAGAATGTTTTCCAAATATCTAATCTCAATCTCCCCTCTGGCAGGTTAAAGCCATTCCCCCTCATTCTGTCCCTATAGGCCCTTGTCAAAAGTCCCTCTCCAGATTTCTTGTTGGCCCTTTTAGGCACTGGAAGCTGCTCTCCAAAGTTATTTTGACTTCTTTGTCTCTCTTTGTACCATTACCCATTTCTTATTATCGCAAGTTTCTTAAATGCAGTCTGGAATTGAGTGGTTAATTTATATATCTGGCTTATTGGAGTAATCCTCTAAGAAAGCGTGTTCAGAGTACTGACTGACTGCTTATAAAAAGAGAACAAGAAGCTTTGCAAACTAATTAAGCCTTTCTACCCAGAAATGCAGACTACTTCTACCCAAGGGGAGTTATGTGGTATTTGTATGGTTGACATGCTTTTGAAAGCCTTGCTTGTGTACTGTTCTATTCATAAACATAAAGATGAGTTTCTGCTTGTAAAATAACGCTTCGTTAGTTTTGGATCTTTGTATATTTTGCGGTGTATGCAACCTGGCTGGGATGAAAAAACCCAGCCTCTCTAGTTGGTAGCACTTTAGTATTCAGTGCATGAAGCTTGTTCACGTGGTAGCATGATTTGATGGATGGATTGTAGAGGCCAAGGCCTCCAGCATTGTAATCACTTGTGTGGTGGGCTTTAAGCTTCCTTTTTCCAGTTTTCTTAGTACACAGCCAGTTTTATGATTGAAAAAATAGTACTTTAGCCAGTACTTTATCAGAACTACGTGATTTAGTGTGTGCTAAAAAAAATAAAATCCCTTTTGGATATGAAATATAACTGAAAATATATTTTTCAAAACACTTGTTTGGTTTTATTTTTACTATTTCTAGGGAGAGATGAAACGATGCAGCCAGCCAGACCCTCATTCCTGGAATATTTTGAGCAGAAGGAGAAGGAGAATCAAATCAATAGCTTTGGGAAGAATGTGTCTGGCCAGACAAAGAATTCATCTGATTGGAAAGTACCACAGGATGGAGACTACGAATTTGTAAGTCTATACTTTGAAATTCAATCAGTGTGACAATCTTTAAGAGTTTTAGTCAGAGCTGCTATAAGATTATTTCTTGTTTTGACAGACTAATGGAAACTTGAGGAGATTCTAATTGCTAATGCTTTTAGATGTGGCATTTTGAAACACTCGTTTTCTTTAGGTATTTCTTGTTAATAGGAACCAGTCATTATCTGTATACTTGCCTTGTTTAAAAGCAAACAAAGGAACAAAAATGAGGGTACAAGCCATCTTCCTTTACTTCCCAGTTATGCATTTAAAACAAAAAAAATACAGAATTCCAGATGGCAGTTGGAAAATGCAAATCCAGAATGTGTAGTGTTTGACAAAGAACAGTGTTAGAACCATTGAATTTCCATGTTTTTCTCCAGCTTTGGCACTGGGCTTTGTTATGTTATATAAACATCAAACTTGTCTTCATTCTTGCAGATCTTCTGTTTCAGTCTTTCTAACTAAGATTCATGTGGTCAGAATTTTCAGGAACTTTTCAGAAGTCCAGAGAAAGATTTACTCTTCATAAATTTGATATCGTTCTTTTTTGTGAGGATGGAAAATTTCTGCTTGGGGTTCAGAATGTCAGAAGATTCATGCTGTCCTGAACGATGCTCCCTCCGCTGTATTTTCTTTCAATAACACTTCACTGCAAGCACTTTGTGTGTTGTGCACCTTTACGATGTCTGTTGGTGTTGCCCGTGATTCAGATTGTCACGCTGCATTCAGTAGCTGGAGAGGTTCACTCCACCTTTACAAAGCAGTGTGGAAAGCAAAATCCCGCTGCTAGTCACGACTCCAGGAGATGCTTTATTTTGAGGCTGGGATAAGAGCTGGAGCCTTTCATTCTCGTTGTGCAGGTTGTATAGACTACTGCTGTTATGTACGTTTTGTTGTCTGTGCTGCTGCCTCTCAAATTTTCTTATTTAATGACTGAAAAGGACAGGTGGCTGAAGGACCTGCTGCATTCTCTCTCCTGTAGCCTGTTGTGGTTTAACCCCAGCCAGCAACTAAACACCATGCAGCCGCTCACTCACTCCTTCCTCCCTGTCCCATGTGGAATGGGGAGGAGAATTAGAAGAAGGTAAAACCCCAGTGTTGAGATAAGAACAGTTTAATAATGGAAATGAAGTAAAATAATAATAGAAATAATAATAAGAATCATAGGAAAAGGAGAGAAGGAGGAATAGAATTCAGGAAACACAAGTGATGTACAGCACAGTTGTTGACTATCTGATGACCGATGTCCCTGAGAAGTGATCAGTGGCTCCTGGAAACATCCTCCCAGTTTCTATGCTAACCATGACATGCTTGGTATGGAATATCCCTTTGACTAGCTCGGGTCAGCTGTCCTGGCTGTGTTCCCTCTCAGCTTCTTGTGCCCCTCCTCACTGGCAGAGCATGAGAAACTGGAAAGTCCTTGATTTAGAGTAAGTGCTACTTAGCAACAATTAAAACATTGTGTTACCAACACTATTCTGACACTAATCCAAAACACAGCACTGCATCAGCTACTAGGAAGAAAATTAACTCTGTCCCAGCTGAAACCACGACATAGCCCTTCGCTCCATGTATCTTTAGCCTGAAGGCTTAAAGTCTCTGCAGAAACATGTTTTGCATACATAACCTGCAAGCTGCCTGTGTATCACAGGGTCTGGGCCAAACATGATTCCAGTCAAATCAGATACTTCATTTATCTCATTCACCTTACATGCTGTAACTTCATTTAATGATAAACAATTATCTTTCCAATGTGTGGTGTTTCCCAGGAAACCTCCTGGGTTTGGACTATCTTAGAAGTCCTTTGTAGTCTGCGGAAGATGGCCCAAGGGAAAATTTGCTGTAATTATTTCACTTTCTAATTTGGTTGATAACAAGTTTACCAATTACCCTTATTTCCACTGAGTACGTTGTGTTCCACCCTCCATACCATGAGCTGTAGGTTCAGGCTGCACCCAGAGAGCAGCATAAGCAGTGGGGATGAAACAGGAAAGGTCGGTGCCATTCTAGCAAATGGGACTTAGACGTATTTTTAGAACGTGTGAAGCAACTGTTTAACGTGCACGTGGCCTTGTTTTCTGATTTCCATTAGTACTGAAGTATTGCCCTGTGCATGGATTACCAGTGCTCTGGAAGCAATAAGAGCAAGCAGTAAAAGCTAGCAGTAACTCAGGCTTTGGGTCACCTTCGTTTAGTAATCTGTAGAAATTTCACTTCCCAGCTGTATTTATTCCTCCAGTTCAACTGTGTATGAATATCCCAGCCTGTCTTGCATGCAAATTTAGTAACAGAGCTACTTTCTTTTCTGTAGGACAAGAAAAATGTATGAAAGCAACCTTTATAAATACACGTGGGTATTTGTTTAGCTGTTATCTGAGGGTTCGCAGTAACTTCACGTTGTGTATTCAGAATTAAAACTGGGTATTTTTCCCCTTTGGCTAAAAATGTATCAATTTGATGGCTAGTTCTGGGTAAAAGTAATGTTTTTTAATGCTGTATTAATTGAAAGCCTCAATGAAATGAGCATTGTGGAATGAGAAAAAAAAAACATTCATTAGGTGCATCAAGTCCATCTGTCCTAGATACGACTGCAGCTATAACTTACTTCTGCATTGTCAGAGTGGGCAGGTTTGAGCAGACTTGGTAGAATCTGCAGGATTCCAAGTGGAGATGAGAACAGTGAGATGCTGGGTGAATACAAGTTCCTCCTGGGCCATAAGAAATGATTGAAATATTATTGCTTTGTTCTACTGCAGACTAGATAAATATGCCTTCTGTATTCTGTATTCTCTTCTGTATTCCACTCCCTCCAATATGACTCGCGCCTGGAGTCTCCTGTCTTCCGAAAAAAAAGGGCAATACTAAATTACCAAAGATTTTTGATCTCTTCCCCTGTGGGAAAACCATTTGACCTTTTCTTAACTGTTTCTCTGAAGCAGGCAAATAAGACACTCTTTATATCACAGTGGCAATGTCATGTTAGATGGGGGTTAGACTGAGTCAGCCCCATCCACTGCAGAGCTGAAAACCCCAGAGATCCTGTTCTGAAAGGTAATGAACTCCGATACTCCAGACATGGTGCTCTGGCTGTCCTGATTGTGGTCAGAGGTGGCATAAACCCAGTGTATTTCCAGCAGTGTATTTCCAGCCTTGGATTTCTGAGGTAGAAATTGTTACTGACTGATTAGTCAATGCCTGATGGTGTTAATGTTCATCCCTACTCATGTATAAACAGGGATCTCTAAAGATTTAAGCCCTGCTTGATTACAAAAAATGTTTTCAGGAACATTATGATTTATTGAATATGGGGGAAAAAAATACTAATTATTGTCAAAAATTCTTGCATTTAGGAAGAGTATAACAAACTCTAATATGAAAATGCCGCAGGGGTAGACTGTTAATGGGCAGGCTGCAGTGTATGTGTAATTCCTAATTGCCATAATCAGATCTCAGGATTTTTGGAGCTGAATTTCATTTTGCCAGTGAGCGTTAGTCACATACTGCTGCGCAGACTTAAATTAATAATGCCAGAAGATTTGTTTAGACAATGTCCTGCATTTTTTCACTTTAATCTTTCAGTAGTACTGTAATATACAGCAAAATTAATTGTGCAGCATATCCTGCCCTTAGACACAACAAACCCTTTGCTTATTCCTATTTTAAAAGCCTTTTAAATGCTTTGAGTGGGTTCTAATATCACTTGTGGCTAAAGCAGGATCACTTCTTTTCTTCTGGCTGTGCTTGAAAGGCCTTCAGTTCTTGCCAAACCTGTTGTAGCACGTTTCTGTGGATCATCCAGAATGCTGGGTATTATATCACTAATCATTTCATTGAAAGTCTATTTTGTTAGCAAATTAGCAGGTTCCAGCCATTCATGGCTTATGGTAGCTATGACAATACTGAAACCTTTTTGGTGTTATTTCATGCATGTGGTATTGCCTGTGGCAAAAATAGCGGCAGTAGACCCCTGTCAAGCTTGAATTTTGCTATCATGATGCAGCTGCTGGGTTTTTAATACCTGTAGTGTTGAGCTTAGGTTTTGCTGTAACTCTAATTCATAATTTCTCATGTATCAGTGAATCCATGCAAATTAACTATCCTAGGGGCTTGTTTTGGATGTGGAGTCAAATAGGACCTAACTTGTAACAGACACTAGAACAAGAGTACTGCAGGACATCAAGTCTTTCTGCAGGCTTTACACAAGGAGTTGAAGCTGTTTGCTCCAAGGCTTTTTTGATTGCAGTACCTGTGTATGTGCCAACCCTTCCTGGCCCGTGCAGCACAGCCTATCAAGAGCTTAATTGGTACAGACACTTCTGCATTGTCTTCAGCTGCTCTTGCTATCTGTACTTCACTGGAAGACCACCAGGTGACAGCTGAGCTTTTGAAGGGAGGAATTGCCACTCACCTGCAGGACCTCACTGGAGAGCTGCAATCATCAGCAGTCATTTTCTGCACTGGCAATCTCCATCCTCCTGCTGCAACTCTGGGGAGGAGCCTGACATTCAGAAACAAGGTTCATGTCTCTTTCCTAAGAAGTACCCTGGTTCCTTTGGAAAGACCTTGATTTGCTTGCATCTGCTAAGTCTTGGTAAATGAGACCTTTCCTTTTTCCTACAGTTATCAACAGCCGGTAGTTTGGTTCTTTCCTTCTCCCTCCTTGGCTCAGCGAAGAGGATGTGCCTTCACAGGTTGAAGCAGAACTTTGGAGCAGTACTTTTTTCCTTACAACATACATTCTTGAGAGTCTCAAGGTTTGCAGAAGGGAGTAGACAGGGCAAATTCCTCAGCTTTCTATGGAAGGACTGTGGGAGATGGTGGTTGTCATGGCCTTTGTTCACAGTTCAGTGTGCTGCAAGGGAACCTGTTCCAGCTCTTGTGTTTCCATGCTCCAAGCGCTATTCTCTGCCCTAGCTCATCTTTTTAGCTCCCTTTGAGAAGTGTCTCGTTGGCTGCTGATGGGAATTTCTTTGGACAGGAAAGATTGG